CTCACACAGTATGAATGAATTTTAATACATGAAATTATATAGCTGGCATCAGTCAGGGTTGCCAGATCTGCATAACAAAACCCTCCCAATTGCTAACTGAAACTAACCTAATCACTTTTGGGGGGGGAGGGGGGGGAGGGGATTCCTTCAACCCCCTGACTAACAAAAACAACCAAACCCACATAAACCTTCAGTATTTGATCAACTGATGCATTCTGTGAAAGGGATAAACTAAAAAAAAAAATCTGTATTTCTGTGGTAAATCTGCAGACTTACCAGGATTTTGGGGTCTATGGAATTAAAAAGTTTGAACACCCATTATTTGATTTTTAATACATTTCTAACAGACTATACAAAGAGATGTTACCTTTTCTCACTACTGTCTTAGCAGAACAATCACTAAGACCTATGCAAAAAGGCTACATCAAGTATAAACATGTAAAGGGTGGGTGTGTATCAAGTCGGCTGGCCTCCAGGCATCATCTGTTGTCTTAAAAAATGTATCTTGTGATTTTATATTAATCTGATCCATGCTGAGACTTGATTTTGTGCAGTCTTACCTGGTAAACCTTTGTCACAGTGTAAGCATGGCCCAGGACTATGCCATTTGGTAACCGTGTCTCGTTCTGAAACAGAGAAAAATGAACAGTAGAAAAATGATCAGGAGACACAGGGCACGGTGTAAAAGTTTTAAAGTTGATGGAATCCCAAGTTATTTTTTTTAACTAAAATAGGTGTCTAGGCATACATAGAAAGGTTTTTGGAGGGGTTTTGCAGAGTGCGTGTGTGTGTGTGTGTATGTGTGTGTGTGGTTGAAGCTATGGGGGAATTTGTGGTCTAGTTAGTGAACAAGATGGCTAACATCGCTTTAAATGCAATCTATATAATTAAAGGAACAACAACAATCCTTTATTTAAATATTTATTTAATATATTTAGGTTTTTAGTTTGGCCATGTACGTAAGATATAAGCACTCTTTGCTTACCCCTGGTGGAGTTTCACAACCCATAAGGACCTCTGACTGGTAAGCACGGTACATTATCTCCCACAAATCAGTAGGAGCTGGTTTCAGTTCATAGTGCATATGAACCCCACCGGTAAAGTCCAAGAGGGCCTCAGATACTCGACCAGTATGCATGTCAGAGTAGGAGCCGCACACCCTGGAACATTCATTCTAACTCAAAATGGTTTGCCACAGTGTAATAGACATAAATTTGATGACGATTACTGCACATGAACCACAGATCACATTACAGCTATGCTTATATTGAATACAACAGCGCTACTGCTTACATGTACTTGAGATGATACTTTATAAAGTCACATAAAAAGATGCAAAGGCACTTACTTGGCATATGCTTTCTCCAGCAAGGCAGGCCAGAACTCATTATATGTTTTTGATTTCACAAAAATCAGCTGGCGGCCAATTGTTGGCAGTTTGTCATCAATCACAACATCGTACCATTTTCCAAATCGCCAGAACTGTAAATTTATATAAGCAGAAGAGTGAATGAACAACTGATACAATGAAACACAAAATATACTATTGCTTGGGGTTTAGATGATGAATCATGGTCAAAATAGAAATAAATATTCTGTAGGAATTTGTCTTACCCTGAAGTGAAATAAACCAGTATAATTGTGGCTGAATGACTGTCCGTCTGGAACGACCTTATGTAATAATTTGTTTTGAAATGTTAGAGCCCCAACAGATGCAAGAAACCAGCAGTTTCCTGAGGGGGGAAAAAATGACCAATTGCCACAGTAAATTTGATATCTTTCATATTGCACAACTCATATCTGAATTTTTCTAGTTTTGCTAGTTTACTTTGTTTTCAGAGAAAATTTATTTTGCAAGATTTTTTTAATCACTTGATAGCACTTGCTGTACAAATTAAATGAAATTTTGCTGTAGATTCAAATGAAATTTTCTTTATGACAGGTTTTTCATTGCAGCTTCTTCTATGCATCCTCATAATGTTCTGCTGTCTTCAAATTTCATTAAGTTTGGGCATTACATGGAGCAGACTAGACCATTTATTTGGCTTATACCTTCGCAACACTTTTATAAAACAAAATTATTTTAATATCATTTTGTCATGAGGGTCTTGGGATTACACGTGCCAGATTTTGTGTACACAGACCACTAAAGTGTTCATAAGAGTTATGAAATAATAAACAAATTCACTTATTATAGCTCCACCTAGTGTCCGATCTGTGTCTGGTGGTGACCAGTGTTGGGGGTAACGCATTACAAGTAACGCGAGTTACGTACTGATTAGTGGGAGGGGATCTCTATGATTTACAGCAGGGGTGTCCAAACCTGTTTCTAGAGGGCCACAGTGACTGTCCTGCAGAGTTTTGCTCCAGCCCTAATTAAACACACCTAAACCAGCTAATCAAGGTCTTCAGACTCACTAGACCAGGGTTCCTCAAATCTTGCCCTGGAGGGCCAATGCGCTGCAGAGTTTAGCTCCAACCCTGATCAAACTCACCTACCTGTGATTTTCTAATGATCCTGAAGACATTGATTAGCATGCTCAGGTGTGTTTGATTAGGGTTAGAGCTAAACTCTGCAGGAAAGTGGATCTCGTGGGCCAGATTTGAGGATCCCTGCACTAGACACTTCTAGGCAAGTGTGTTGGAGCTGGTTGGAGCTAAACTCTGCAGGACATTGGGTTGGACACACCCCTGGTCCATAATATTGTGGTTATCCAGACATACCTACATTCCCTTGGGCATAGTCAAACCTGGACACTGTCTGTACAATAAATTCAGCTGCATTTGGATACAATACCTGAAAGAAAATAAGGTCAACTGATTCATTCTGTGAAAGGGACATTTCGATTGATGGTGTTTTTAATAATGGCATTCTTTTTTCATCTTTCTGTATAGGACCAGAATCTGCTGTATTATGTGACTACAGGTCAAGTTTATTAATGTTTTTTATTATTATTATTCTTTCAGGCACTTAGTCACAGTCAGCTGACTTTAAATAAGACTCTTTTAGCTTTCAACAAAAGTGTATATTTTACACTCCTTTTACAATTTTGTGCAATATTGTCAGAACGCATGTGCTGATGCCTCAAGCCAAACGCAGGACTGCCTACATACCGCTGGTCTTATCCACTCCACCTTGGCCATGACATCGGGCTTCAGCAGCCCTTCGCCAATAGAACGGGCATTTGGCGGGAAAAACTCATCAACAAATCTCTGTCTTGTCTTGAGACAGTAGTCTTGTAAAAAGTTGTAGTCCTGATCCATGAACTTCAAAGGATTTGTTTCAGAGCCCATGCCACCCTTCATGTTGCGGTCGTTTACGACTTTTAAGCACATGCCATGTGGAACCACTGGAGGATGCATTTTGAAATCTGTTTGGATTTTTTTTTTTTTAAAGAGGGAAACACAATAACAATACAAATATATAACAATGCTGTGAACAAAAAGCTAGCTCTATCACATTCATGTCCAGCAGATTTACCACATGACATTCTCTGCCACCAGAAATCCCAGCCACAAACTGTTCCTCTTCATTTTAAAATAATTTATACCCTGACAGCTCAATGCATGTGTGTACATCTCGCAGTTCTAGATGACTGTTATCTTTGGCAGGTCTACATGTCTTGCTGTTCTAGTCTTTGGATGTAGTTGCCCACATTTTCTATTAAACCTAAACAAATTCCATCCTGTTATTGATTTTCCTGTATTGGACTTACATTTACATTACACCTATATTTGGCACTTGAAGCTTTTATCCAAAGCAACTTACATTGCATTCATAGTATAAATTGTATCTATTGTTAGTGCCATGCTCTGATGTTTATGCTTCAGGTATGCACACAGTGTGTAATACATTTTCACAGAATGTAAATTTACACTAGCACACAAGTACTTTACTTCGCATAGATTACAGAATAAATGAAAATGAAATGTAATTAAATTCATACAAGTATTAATACAATTCGATCAGTTTTCATTAGGATAAAGTGTGTTTTCCACCAACTAGTTTGTATCTACAAGTAGAATATAGACCATCCCTTCCTATTACTCTAATGAACTTTAACTTATTGCATTTACTGAAATGAATAAAATGCAAACGTACCTTCAATGATGCAACAAATCACTGGAACAAGAAATTTCACTCAAATGACTGGTAGTCTTCTCTGTCTGTGACTGGCTTTTACACACTTTTGCCCTACTTCACGCTTTTAAAACACCTGCAGAAGCCCCACCCAACTCCCAGCTTATGTGTTTATTAACAAAGAAGTGATTGGCAGAAGTTCATCTGAGCCTTTGTTATTCTGAGAAACTGAAATCCTTCACATTTGGCATAGAAAAAAAAAGTTGGCCAAGATGTTGCACAGTATGTAAATTTAAATTTTTTCTTCCCCCCAGAAGACACAAATGTTGGACAGATGTGCACAGTTTATTTCTGTGCCAGAATTATAAAATGTATGCAGCTTGTTAGGACTCTTTTACAGCAGGGTTTATGTAAAGCCTCCAAAAAATGCATTCAGTGCAGCAGATACCGGTTTGTCATGCCTGGACTTGCTTTGAATGTTGCATTCTACTCATGTTTCATCATTATAATGATCATGAATTACGATTTATATTATCTGTAATTTATATAGTATACCGTACATATTATGTATATCTGTATATTATACAGTATATATTATGTATAAATCTATAAATTATTGGCCCATTTTACTGTTGCAATGCACAATATGCTGATATGGTTTAACTTGGCCTCAAGTAAGTTCAGAGAGTCATTTTTTGGCAAATTAACACACTTGACAAGTAGGCCTACTTAGGAATGTAAATAGCATGCCAGTACAGTAAATGCAAATAAAACCCCAGTCAAGTCAGATCAAGTATGGTCAGTGTACAAAGCTCATATATAGTGCCAAGCAATAAGAACTTGTAATCGTTGTGAAACTGTGAAAGTTGTTTTTTGGAAAAGAAAAAGAAAAAGAAAAAAATTTCTTAAAGAGGTCATGACATGAGAAATCAAATTTGCCTTGATCTTTTGGCATATAAAACGTCTTTGTACCATTAAAACATCCAACAAGTTTCATAGCTTACATCGTCCTCCTCACTATGAACAAAGCATTTATTTAATCAAGTTCTAAAAACGAGACATCAGAAGGATCCCGGCGTCAGGAGAAAATGGATGGTTTATTTTAAATGGCATCCCTAGAATTACAGTGCCTTGCAAAAGTATTCATTTTTTCACATTTTGTTATGTTGCTGCCTTATGTTAAAATGCTTTAAATTATTTTTTTGCAAATTTGTTAAAAATAAAAAAAACTTCAAGTATTCATACCCTTATTTGGGACAGTTGAAATTTTGCTTAGGAGCATTCATATCGCTTGTAGATGTTACTACACTTCGAGTGAAGTTAACCTGTTGCAAGTTCAATTGAATGGGTATGATTTGGAAAGGCACACACCTCTCAATAAAAGGTCTAACAGCTAAAAAATGCATATCAGAGCAAAAACCAAGCCCTGAGGTCAAAAGAACTACCTGTAGAGCTCAAAAACATCAAGCCACACATCTGGGGAAGAGTTGAGAAACAATTCTGCTGCATTGAAGGTTCGCAGAAGCATGTAGTCTCCATTACTCTTAATGGGAGAAGTTTGAAACAACCAGGACTCTTCCTAGAGCTGGCCGCCTGGCCAAACTGAGCAATCAATGGAGAAGGGCCTTGGTTAGACTGGTGACCAAGAACCTGATGGTCACTCTTGTTGAGCTCTATGATCATATGTGGAGATAGGAGAAACTTACAGAAGGACAAACATCACTGCAACACTCCACCGATCCAGTCTTTATGGCGGTGTGGCCAAACTCAATCCTCTCTTCAGTTAAGACACATGAAAACACACTTGGAATTTGCAAAAAAGCACCTAAAGAACCCTCAGATTGTGAGAAACAAGAGTCTCTGGTCTGATGAACCGCAATTCCAAGCATCATGTTTGAAGGAAACCAGGCACTGCTCATCACCTGCAGAGTACCATCCCAAAAGTAAAGTGTGCTGGTAGCAGCCTCATGCTGTGGGGCTGTTTTTCAGCAGCAGGGACTGAGGGACTTGTAAGAGTAGAAGAAAAGCTCAATGCACCAAAATATTGAGATAGCCTTAATGAAAGCACAGTCCAGAGCATTCAGAACCTCAGACTGGGCAGAAGGTTCACCTTCCAACAGGACAATGACCCCAAGCACACAGCAAGGGTGGCTTATAGACAACTCTGTGAATGTCCTTGAGTGGCCCAGCCACAGCCTGGGATTGAACCCAATCAAATATTTCTGGAGAAACTTGAAAATGCATCATCCAACCTGACAGAACTTGAGAGGTGAAGAGGTGAGGAGAAGAATGACAGATAATTGCCAAATGCTGATGCGCAAAGCTTGTCGCATCATACCAAAAAGACTTGAGACTGTAAAGGTGCTTCAGCTAAATGCTGAGTTAAGGGTATGAATACTTATGAAGTGTACTTATTTCAGTTTTTTATTTTTAATACATTTATGACGTTTTGACAATTCTGTTTTTGCTTTGCCGTTATGGTGTGTGGAGTGTAGATTGATGTGGGAAAAAAAGAAATTTAAAGTAGTTTAACATAAGGCTGCAACTTAAAACGTGAAAAAAATGAAGGGGTACTTTCGCAAGGCACTGTATGTGTTTGTTTGGAGCATTTTGTTTTGTAAATGAGGCGCAGTGTAATGGAGAGTTTGCAAAGAAACATTTGTTGAAAGATGAAGCTGTACTGGATCTGACTGCAGCTGCATCACAAACCGTAAATAATGATTTAATAATGCTTTGTGTGTAAATTACGGTTTTATATGGATCATGTTGTCAAAACACTAACTCACGTGCAATGGCGAGGGGGCGTTTATACTGTGTTAGCCAGTCATAACAGTGGTCGATTACTGACAAGCCTTTAAAAGACGGATCATTTTTAGACAAAGGGTTTGAATGAGTGTGTATATACAGTATATATAGCCTATATATACACACATCTGCTATGCACAAATTTCAAGCCAGCAATCGGTGATCGGTTTTTAACATTCCGTGACTTGGTCAAAGGACAAAGAGAAGAGGGGAAAATGCTCAAAAATTTAAAATAAAATAAAATAATCCATTCAAAATGTGAACAATTTCAGAATCATTTACCAAGAGTTACTTGAAAATAGATTACATTTCTGCACAAATAAAACTTTTAATCTAGCTCATATGCATCCTACAAACAGTATGCTGTATTAAGTTGATCATTTCTTGTCTATAGCCTATGTACATGTGAATGAATACATTTTTTAAAAGTTTAACAAAGATTAACAAAAATGTGAAGATTCTTTATGTATTTTCAAGAAAAAACGTTCTCTGTTTTTTCCATTAAATTATGTACATACTGTGCGTGTGTGTGTGTGTGTGTGTGTGTGTGTGTGTGTGTGTAGGCATACAGGTGTCATGTCACCAGTTCTCCATCAGAGGTCACTGACATTAAAGTAGTGACTTTAAATCCCATCGTGGCCTGTAATGATTGTGAAATCTTCATGACAGTATAATGTGAACAAACATGTATTAATATTAATATTTATGTAACATTGAGAATGTTTTTCCACTTTGGAATGAACGTTATTCAATATAGTTCCCATAATAAAGTGTTTGTTGATAGGTCTTGCATTAGAAAAATTCAACAATACATTTTGAATTTAATATTTATGCTCAACTGCTGTAACAGTCTTTGATTAGTTCTTGGATTACAACCAACATGAAGAGTGTGTGATATATTTAAATGAGAGGTTGTATGGATCCCTGATAAGAACAGAGATCCCTGATAAATAAAAAAACCCAAAGAGGAAGGAAACTGTTTACAAAACTAGAATCAGAGTTCATTGTACAAAAGCTGATGGACGTATTCTGTTTTGAGAGAGAGAGAGAGAGAGAGAGAGAGAGAGAGAGAGAGGCCAAAAGAAACCAGCAGCTCATCACAATTTGCATGATTACTTTTGCAATTTGTCATAACAATCTTCAGTGTTAGGAGCTATGCTAGAGAGAGAGAGAGAGGTATAGGCATATATTTTTTTATTTTTCTTGTGAATTTCTGATGAGGTTCATTATCTGTCATCACTTTGGCAATTCAGTGTTGAAGACAATGTTAGGAAAGAACACAATTCCCAATGACTAAGAAAAACTAAGCAACTTCTACTGCACTGACATTGGGTCCAAAGGGCCCACCGGAAGGGTGTCTTAGGTCATGTCCTGCCATTCAAACAGAGGCGCTGTCCTGCTTAACACAAACACAGGATGGGACCCATGGCTAGATTTATCAGCAAGAGGCAGGCAACAGACACAATAGCAAGACACATTGTATGTTTGTTTCAATGTAAAACACAGAAAAAAACATAACTAACTTTTGTGGCCAAGCATGTAGTCTGTCTTCAGTCTCATTTTGGAGCTAGTTGTCACAAGGGCTATAAAAGTTTATTACACAAATGTATGCTTTCTCTAGCAGTGGTTTTATATATTGGTGTTCATTTTTGTATTTTATGCTTTTACATTTTTGGTATTTCATGAATCATTCATATTCACATTTCAAATTTGTTTGGCTGTTCATATTAGATTAGATTCAGATTAGATTCCAGTTTTGTCATTGTGCATTGTGCAGAAGGGCCAATGAAATGCAGTTAGCATCTAACCAGAAGTGCATATAAGTGTATATATAAATAAATATATAAATGTAAGTATTGTGTATGTACAATAAATATTTATGAAGGACAGGTGCAGAGACCAGCTCAATGCAGTTATCTATGAAATACAGTGCAATCTAAATCTACATTAATATAGTGCAATATGGATACAGTACAGTAGGGTGGAAATGAGACGTATAAAACACAGAAGGTGCATTATTAAGAATGAGGTATTTGTAAATATATAAACATACGGTCAGCGACCATTTCATATCAGACCATATATTTAAACCACTTGTCAACACAAATGTCAGTATTTGTTCAATGAATTATATATTTTTCCAGGACAAAAATGGTGACTGTATATATATATATATATATACTACCGGTCAAAAGTTTGGGATCAGAACCATTTTTTATGTTTTTTACAGGAGTTTTTTATGCTCATCAAGGTTGCATTTATTTGATCAAAAATACAGGAAAAATTTAATATTGTGAAATATTATTATGACGTAAAATAACTATATTTTAAAGGATATTAAAACAGAAACCATTATTTTATACTGTTATAACATTTTGCAAGATTACTGTTTTTTTTTTCTTTATTTTTGATCAAATAAATGTAGCCTTGATGAGCATAAGAGACTTATTTAAAAAACATTACAAGTCTTACTGATTCCAAACTTTTGAATGGCAGTGTGTGTATATATATATTTTTTATTTTTATTTTTTATTTTTTTAAGTATAGGGTGTGACAGCTGTCCCTCAGATTTTTAATGTTTAATCTTCATTTAGAATTGACATGAGAACTCTTTAAGCTTCATATTTGCGAGCTCTTGGCACTTATTATATGACCCCTGTTAACTGAATAATGCGGTTAATATGGTGTGAATATGATTTTTCACCGGACACTAGCATTGTGAAACTTGAATATCTTAAAATATGTTGCAAAAGTAGGCCTAGCCTGCTCTATAAAATATATTTTTTCACTATCTAAATCAGATTCTCAGTCTACATCTAAAATTATACTTGGTGTCACATTGTGAGTTGCCATCTGGGAAAGTAGTTGAAACAATAAACAGCCACGGGCAGTTGTTTTTTGTCGGCGGCAGGAACTCGCTCTGAGAAAAGACAAATGAAGCCTGCTGCTTAAACAAGATTTCCTTTGTAGGTTGTTCACTAAACGGGCTGCTTCAGTTTGAGTCATGTTATGGTACTTGGAAGGCCTACGAACAATTCCTTCTCCAGCCTCAGAGATTAACTGAATATTTTCTCGTCAAAGCGAGTAGTATTTTATTATTGATGATACTGACGGGATGATGCGCGTACTGATTCTGATGTTATCCTGTTTTGTCTCTGGCGGGACCGATCGAGTGAGCACAACATGCACCCCTGAGGCTTGCCTAACGTTGCATTTGAAGGAACAACTTTTTGAAAAAGCTTCAGAAGACTGTATCAATAATGGCGGCAATTTGGTTACTATGAGAAATGAAAATGAACTTCAGAGCATCAAATCGGTTCTTTTAGCAGCAGGAGAATACAGCATCCTTAACTCTAAAGTTTGGATCGGGCTTGCGCTACAGAAAAGAAACTGCACCGATTTCACTGAGGAGCTAAACGGCTTCAGATGGACATCAGCGCCAACCGATTCCAAATATTCCAACTGGAAAAAGAAACCTTTGAGCACGTGCACGGAAAAAAGGTGTGTGTCGATTTCACTGGTAGATGGTCTCAAGTGGTCAGATGGCTCATGTAGAGACAGCGCATTTTATATGTGCAAATTTATCTTCAAAGGAATGTGCAAACCAATTCTGTTGGAAGAACCAGGTGAGGTCAAATATAACGTCCCGTTCTTATTTAAACCGCTAACTCCAAATGAAAGGTTGGCGATGTTACCACATGGGACATTGGCTGAAATACAATGCGGCGGCTCGGAAGATGCAAAAACGTTTGTCTCAATTTGTGGCAACAATAACGCTCTTTTTGGCTGGACAACTGAGCGTTTTTGCGCACGAAATGAAAGTTGCAAACGCAAAAACGGAGGCTGTGATCACCATTGTTTTGAGACTGCAGGAGCAGGTGTTCGTTGTGAATGTCGTAAAGGTTATTACCTCAAGGATGATAAAGTGAGTTGTGCTCTCAGAAATAACTGCGAAAATTCACCTTGCGAGTCAGAGTGTATACCGACTGCCACTGGGTTTTCATGCGCATGCGCGGAGGGATTTAATTTGGCTGAAGACAACGTCAGTTGCGTTGATATCGATGAATGTCAGCAACGTACCTGCGGTGAACACAGGTGTCAAAACACGCCGGGAAGCTATTTTTGTGAGTGTAAACCCGGTTTCAGGCTTGTTGCTGGCAAATGTGAAGACGTGGACGAATGCACCGAATTCAGTTCGCTTGTTCAGTTCAGTTGTCAACAGGGCTGTCTCAATTCACAGGGTTCATTCTCTTGTTACTGCCACGCAGGTTACAGTTCATCATCAAACGATAGCAGGAAATGTATAGATATCGATGAATGTGTCAGTAGACCGTGTGAAGACATCTGCCTCAATATCTTGGGTAGTTTCAAATGTTCCTGTAGGGAAAACTTCATTTTGGCTAAAAATGGCATCAGCTGCGTCCCGGATCCCACGGAGAAAATACAAATCACTCAATCTCCAGATCATAGAGGAGAGTTTATCATTAAACTGAGTCAGCTACCTGTCACTTCTGGACCGTCAACAGTCAACACCCCTCCACTTAACAAGACAAACACTAAAGCGGACTCTAGTAAACGCAAAGAAAGTTTTCTCGGAAGTTATTGGATTTTGGTGTGTGTCTTAGGTTCAGTTATTCCATTGATTGTGATCACTGTGCTCATGTCAGTCTTTATTATCCACCGATGGAATCGTTCAAGAAAAGCCGCTTTGAAAAATGCCACTGCTGACAACTATTGCTGGGTTTCATCTGGAATGGACAAAGAGCATAAAAAGAGCAGCAGTCAACTGAATGATTAAATGAAGCCCAAATATGAATGTTCATTTTCTGTCAGCATCAAATTCAAAGGTTTAGGCTACTCAAATGCTGTTTTCCCCTTTTTATAGCCTATAAAAAAATTTAGAATTTTTGTGACTTCTGTCCTTTAAACTGGAATTCCAGAATTATCCTTTTTTTCTGTAAATGTTGGACAAATTAGTGAAAATAAAACCACACTGGGATAGGCTACTAAGTTTAATGCAAGTTGTATATGTGTTTATGTTTTCGTTTTTTACCGTATTATATGTTTGCTGTTTAATTAATTGCTTTGTTTCAGAATTATTTTGCTGAAAACGTCACGATCGTGGCATTTGGGACATGTCAGAAAAGGGCAACGTTTATGGAGTGAACTTTGTATTTCTTTCTGGAAATTGAATCATGATGGAATTTTACAGTCTGTGTTAGAGAAGAATGCAAGGTACATATGGAGAAATTAACTTAAAAAAATTAACCTATTCTGAGATATGTATATTCATTTGAGTAAAAGTGTGAAAATTTAGCCCACTCTTCCCTTTAAATTAACTAAAAGTTGACGTTTGGACAAGCTTTAGACCTGTTCACAAACTTCACTAAACGTAATCTTATATTACTTTTTTTTATTTCACGTATATGATATGTACTATTGATGTATAAAAAATCTCTGTACATTTTGGTAGAATAAATAAAGCTTCATTATACTAGTTTCAGTGTCGATGTAAAGATTTGCTTGAAGCGCAATGTTCTTTATAGGCTTGCCGCTTGATCTTTATAACAGGGCAGTTCAACTCCGCTGGGCCACAACACCGGCAGAGTTATGTTTTAGGCCTAATCAAACCCACCTGCATGTAACCTAATAAGCAACTAATTCTGAAAAGCTTGATTAGCGGGTTCTGATGTGTTTAATTAGGGTTGGAACTAAACTCTGGGTCGTGGCCGCATATCGTTCAGCAATGGAGATAAGCTTAAACTTTTAATGTGCGTGCGTGCGTGAATTCCTGTAAGATTGAATCATTAACAGTGAACGTTAAACTCTTGTGACCACAACCAGTTGAAATGCTATTCATGCATAATTTTCGTCAAGATCATTAGTGCTCTTCCGAGAGTGTGCAGTGCGTGCATCACATTTATGAGAACAAACGGTGACCATGTCGCTCCGGAGTGTTTCTTGACTCCCTCAGGCGGGGTTTCCTTCCTTTATCTACTGAATGGGGTTTCAAAAGGTAGAAATATTTAAAGCGGTGAACACCATATCCTCATGCACCTTAAGCTGCCGTACCTCTTGAAATCAAAATAAAATGGATTATCATAAACAAACGATTTTGTTCATCATGATAATTTCGTTTTGCGCTGGAATGGTATGTAGCTGTGCTTGTTCAAGCAATCTAAAACACTGTGCAAACATTTACCAAATGCCAATGGACTTCCAAACGGCTGAACAGAATTGCAGAGAACGGGGCGGTCAGTTATCTATCCAGTCGAATGCATCAGATAAAGTTGTCGACTATCTTATTGATAACCTGATCGGGCACTTTTGGTCCGGACTCCATCTACCAAGCGGCAAGTGTTTAAGTAATACGAGCGCATTACGCAAAGGCGACTGGACCAACTTGGAGACCGGAGAAGCGCCGTGCGTTCCACTCTGCATGTCTGTCTCCAGCGACGGAACGCGGACGCCGAGACCATGCGCGGACAAACTGGATGGATTTTTGTGTGAGGACTCTCAAGGGGATCTTTGCAAAGGACGTGCGGTCGTTCTGGATAATGCACGGTGCATGTTTGCGCCCTGTGAATATGCATGCACTCCTATGGAAGCCGGATATAGGTGTTCATGTAAGGAGCGATTCCGTCCAAATGCACGAGATCCACGCCGCTGTGATTTCTATTGCGCATCGAAAGTTTGTGAGGCGTTGTGTATGAGAAGCGGGTCGGTGTGTTGGTGCCCGGCTGGTTTTGTTAGAAGCGACCAAACCTGCGAAGATGTAGATGAATGTGAATCAAATCACGGCTGCGCACACAAGTGCATAAATACCATAGGAAGTTATAGATGTGCATGCTATGAGCCTTTCATCCTCGTTAATGGAACTGAGTGCACTCATGTTCATAGTCTACATAATGGTCAAGTATTCACAACACCGTCACCGAATTCTATAGCGAGAGGGGCACTGTCAACCCCAGGAGAGTATGCTGGGCTGATAATATTCCTAGTAGTGGCTGTTTTTGCTCTATTAGTACTTGTGCATTATTTGCGCGGTCGTAAAGCAACTGTACAGGAATGCAATCCATCAGATTCTGGCGAGTTTCAAGAAACCGTATCTAAGTAAATGATAACTGCTACATGTATATAAAGATGGTGGTAATGTCCCTTTGTGTATGTATCAATTAATTTGTTTACTGAACACATTCTGTGAAGGATTAGACTTGTTGGAATGACTGTAAATCTCTCAATATGTCTCTAGCTAAAACTGAAATGTTATGTTATGAAAACTGAAAAACAAAATGTTATTGAAAAATTGTTTTCAAAAGTGAACTGGCCTTGTTGTCCTTTGTGGTTCTCATAGAAAATTAATGTACCCAGAATGACTTGCAGTGTAAGAGTCCATGAAGTCATGAAGACCACGTGTAAAGATGTCAGCATATTTTAGCAGCCCACATATTTTCTTCCTTTAGGTTTATTCCTTGATATGTCAAATAAATTCATATCTTGATATCTGTACTGGAGTACATTACCAAAAAGTTTACTGATAAAACATTGCAATGCATTCGATAAAAAAAATATTTTACATGTTAAACATCTTTGCTAACAACTGTTTTGCATTGTTACTGCATGTACCCTAAATAAAAGATGTATTTTTTATGGTAAATTTTCAGTGTAAACTTTTAAGGTTGATCTGCTGCAAAACTGTCAACAACCTTAATGACGTTTACAACTAAACACTGAATGGTTAGATATATCTGTGATATACATTTCTAATTCACTAATAAATAGTGACCGTATTCATGTTTGTCAATGATCCGTTCTTTCAATGGTTACCTTGTCAGATGGTTTTTTTTTTTCTGTTTACAGCCAGTTGAAACTGCACAATGAAAGTCTGGTAAGAGGAATAGGTATATTTGCTTGTGTAAAAATAGTCATAAAAAAGAAGCTTCCATTTTTCAGCATAGTGTATTTTGAAGTTCATTTTGTGAAATCCACATAAGCTTTACACAACTTTAATGGAAAGGGTTTAAAATATGTTTTTTATGCCTGTTCAGGGAGCCATAAACAATTATTGCACATGCACCTGTGGAACAGTCCTTAAGACACTTACTGTTTACAGGTGGCAGGTCACAGATACAAAAACTTCAACATTAAAGAAACCTCTCTATTGACTCTGAAAAACACCAGATGAAAGATGCCCGGGGTCACCTGCAGGAACATGCCACATGAGGACTGCACATGTGGCCAGAGCAATAAACTGCAATGTGTGTAATGTAAGAGGTATAAGACAGTGCTACAGGGAGACAGGAAGGACAGCTGATTGTTCTTGCAGTGAAAAAGAAGAACTTGCAAGTGCCTTGGTGGAAGAGTGGGGAAACATCTCACAGCAAGAAGTGGCAAATCTGGTTCAGTCCATGAGGATGAGATGCACCGTACTGTAATTAAATATCCAGACAACCCTAGCCACATGGCATCCCAATCACACTCATCAATCAGAGAACCCAGATCCCTTTCCCACAGCTCCTTAGACCCACGCGTGCTTTCCCTTGAAGATTCTAACAGTGCTCCATAAAACCTTTTAATCAATTTAGTACTGCACTGCTTATGTAAGGCATCCTCCAGAGGAGATAAGCATATTTCACGTGGATTTGCTCTCAGTATATTTGAAATGAAGCTTTTCGCCTAGAGCAGGGGTTCCCAATCCTGGTCCTGGCGAACCCCCAACACTGCACATTTTAGATGTCTCCCTATTCAAACACACCTGATTCAACTCATCAGCTCATTAGTGAAGACTCCAAGACAGGGCTGTCCAAACTCGGTCCAACCTGTTATAATCTCACCATTTATTAAGAGGTCTCCGATAACAGAGATTCCTTTTCCCAACCACTTCAGAAAAGGTCCTGGTTCAAGGCCTGGAGGGAAATCAGGATTCATGAGAGAGGGGAATGCTTACTACAGTGATTCTCCCATTTCCTCGTCCATTTCCATGCTCTCAGTGTGCATAGTAGCAAGAAACAAAAACCTTATTTTTTGACATGCACAGCAAATGACTTAAAGGGATGGGGGATATAGAATTATTTTCAATATCCAGCCACGAACGGTCAGGGTCTTCCCTAATCCACTCCCAGATATAGCTGCATAAACAAGCTGTTTGGTATAAGTGAACATTTGGCACACCCAGACCCCTTTGCTCAGGGTGTAACTTAAGGCATGATAACTTCATCCTCGACCCTCTGTTACTCCAGAGAAACGAAGTATTAGAGCTATTTAATTCAGATAAATATTACATTTAAAGGGGTCATGGGATGCCCATTTTCCACAAGTTGATATGATTCTTTAGGGTCTTAATGAAAAGTCTGGAACATAGCTTGGTTAAAATTTCTAAAAGTGCATGTAGCATTATATGACCCCTTTAAGAAGAATGTATCTTCTCTAATGGCCTGTGCCAAAGGCTCGATCGCTAGAGCAAATAACTGCGCAACCTTAAATAGGGCAACCTTGCCCTGTTCCTCTGCTCAATGAGAAGAATGGAGAGTGAGTGCCATTGGTCAAGACAGAGGCTTGCGGTGACGCATAGAGCAGCATTACCCATTTTATAAGATTGTTACCAAGGTTAAATTTGTCTAAAACCCAGAAAAGATATAGGGCCACTCTATCTTGTCAAAAGCCTTCTCAGCGTTGAGAAACACCACCAGTGATCCACCCTGAATATTTTGTCCATGCTGTATAACATTCAATAAGCGTCGGTCTGGAATAAATCCAGTCTGATCAGTGGGGATTATATGAGGAATTACAGCTTCTAACCTTTTAGACAAAACTTTAGTTTTAACTTCCTGTCTACATTAAATAAAGAGATTGATCGGTAGGATGAACATTCTTCTGCTGGCCAATTGTTTTTAGAATGATATTTAATTAATAATTAATAGATAATTAATAGAATTAACGTTATATTAGCCTCTAACATTGAATGTGGCAAGCTGCCTGTGTCAAAAGAGTGAGACAGCATTCTAAGTAAAATAGGGACTAGAAGATCTTTAAATTCTTTATAGAACTCTGAAGTAAGCCCATCGGGCCCTGGAGCTTTATTATTACGTAAGGCTTTAATAGCTGATTTAACTTCTTCAGTCATAGGCTTATTAATTTAATTAATAATTTAATAATTAATTAATGTAATAATTTATGCATTTAAAAGCGACTTACAGTGCATTCAGGCTATACATATTTTACCAGTATGTGTTATAACAGTGATATATATATGAACTGTGATGCTTGCTTTTGGTAGTTACTCCTCTGTCTAAAAACGTTGCTTCCCTGTTACTCATTTTATAATAGCTCCACACTAGTACTTTGACCTGTATAATAATTCATCACGAGATAACCTACATACACCACCACAGGCGGGATCATTTTGTTTTCAGTAGGCTACTTTCCAGTTTCCAGTGAAGAACGGATCTACAGCCGAAGTAAGGTTATTATTATTCCATTTCTTCTCAAGATCAGCTCTGCTGATGGACAGAGAGAAACTCCGACGCAAATGATTTTCAGTATACGGCATCAGTGGGTAGGTTTCAGCAATAATTTATGCATTTAAAAGCGACTTACAGTGCATTCAGGCTATACATATTTTACCAGTATGTGTTTTCCCTGGGAATCGAACCCACAACCTTTTGCGCTGCTAACGCAATGCTGAGACACAGGAACACACCATTTTTATTTATTTATTTTTTTTTACATTATTAAGCATCTCTTTCTGTTCATCTGAGATTCTGGGTATGGTCAAGCCACTCAAAATCTCTCCATATCAGACTCAACTGAAGAGTCTACCTCTGACCTGTACAGCTTCTCATAGAACAACTGAAACTGAAAAATCATATTAATCCCCTATACTTTATGTCCTGGTGAGTTTTTCACATATGAAATGGCCTGAGAATCTGCTTTATGCCTCATCAGACTAGATAAATATCTACTCGGCTTATTGCCAAATGCATAAAGGCGATGTTTAGCACATGAGACACTGCGACACTTAATGTTGACCCCTCCTTTGTTTAGGGACTCATTAGTCAAATGCCTGTAAAACGTGTTCTCAATTGCTGAATCTTTTTATGTTCATACAAATATTTACATTTGAAAAAAAAAAACATTTGAAAGTGTAATATTTTCACGTTTTACCTAGCTTTTTGTCGTTGTCATCATAATTTCAGAGCATTTGTGACCCGATGAATTTTATTCAGTGAAAGATGTTTCATCATGGTGATAAAGAAGGCAAGAAATCTGCGTTTGGACATCCTGTCTACAGCCAGATTGTTCTCTCGATTATCCTCCTCCTCCTCCTCCCTCCTTTTCGGGTCACCGCCTTCCCGGTTAACACAGCAGGTAAGAGATCTGCATAAAAACTGCAATTATATAATTTATAGGAATATGCAGGACTTCCTTTGTGGTTGCCTGTGTAACGGGACACGCTGAAATTAAAGAAACTGAAGAACCTGGCCCATCATCTTCATTAAAGGTTCTGTTCTGTTATGCAGCATCAGTTTCTCCATGACATGACGATGCTGCTTTACAGCTGCATGTTGTATATGGAATAACATTTGGTCATGACTAAGCAGAACATTCACAACAAGCAAGAACCACACTCATAAAATTACAGACATCATCTAGGCCCTAAACTCCTCCTGGCTATAACAACGTTTTATGAAGGTGACATTTATGTAACAGTGAGTAAAACGAACATCTCAGTAGAAAAGTGTTTTCTCACGTAGAATGAAAATGCTATATTGAGTGTGATGTTGAGAGACTGTTGAGGGAGTGTTGTAACATGGGCTGAGTTGTAACAGTTTCACCCAACAGAAATGAGCTACGTGGTGACATCGCTGTCATGCGCTCACCACCCTCCTGAGGTGATAGTAGTTGCAAGACCATATGTAAAAATAGAAAGGATAATAAGAAAACAGTTTTAAGAAAAGGTAACAATTAGAAGAAAGAACAAATTTCCATCTTGATTATGGATTTGATTATTATTTTGTGATCATAATGCATGTTAAGTTACTGAATTGTTACAGATATCGAGATCAAACACCGATATTGGCGCAATCATAAGATGTCATCTTTGCTTTAAATGCATAATTTGGTTCTTTCCTGTGCACTTTCAGTGGAGACGTTCTGCAAGGATCCTGGTGTTCCTGAGCATGGAATCAGAACTCCAAGCAGCGGTTTGTTCTTTGAAAACTCAGTGGCCAGGTTCTCTTGTGTGGATGGTTATAGCTTAAAGGGGCCAGCCAAGATTATCTGCACGCGCTTCCATAATGGATCGGTAGGCTGGAAACCAAGCCTTAAACCAGTGTGCCTTTCGGACGGTGAGGCTACTCAGTCTTAACCGTTTAACTGTCAGCATCCTGTTAGCTACTTTAAAACCTGTTAACAGGCTCCTCCCCCTAGTAGGCGGTGCCTAGCATTATATTACAAAATTTACTACAATATTTTATAATCAAAACTTTTCCTAATCTTGACAAAACACGTATTGTTGGAAAGGTCTGAGTCTCAAGGTTGGTTCCATATTTGGTTGTTATTTTGTGATAGAAGTAATATTGCTACAGAAATGTATACATTTGTGACAGAAAATAAAAATGCATAA